TCCTCGGCCCTGCACGGCCGTCCGGGCCGCAGAGTCCCAGCTGCAAAACTGAGGGTTGCAGCTAGCGTGGAGGTCGACGTCAGTTCAGGAAGAGTTTTTTTAATTGTTACTTCATTTGGAAAGTACATTCGATGCATGCTATCGAGGTAGCAAAGTTACCTGGTATTAGAAAATGTCTGCAGTGGGACAGTGCGACATCAGTCCTCTTCTACATACGCGTTAATAAAATTGTCTGTCATCCTCTTGTTTTGACGGTGCTGTTGTTCAGCATAGAGACTCCACATATAACCCCCCCCCCTTTTTTTTTTGGTGTGTGTCCGTGTGTCTTACTGACCATACAGTATTCAGGTCCTCCCTCAGTTTAATTAATTTAAACTCAGTTTAAAGAGAACAGTTTAATCCCTCAAGAACTTTTTTACTCATGTGAGCGTGTAACAACAAATACTGTATTACAGTATAAAATATGATATTGTAAACACACTGTTTTGTTGTACTGTATGGAATATTTTCCATAAAAACTGAAAAATCTTAGAATAACCCAGAAACTACAGAAGTGTTCTGGTAAGAAAGTGTGGCATGGTGAACAGATACTGTAGTTTATTTTTATCAGATACTCACTAGCATAAAAATCAGCATTGGGATTGAATGAGAACCCAGCAAATGAAAGGAAAGGAATCCCTGTGGCTTAGTCTGATAATCCTCTGAAAGTAAATTGGCCCTCCTCTAATCAACATAGTGGTTGGAGAAAAAGTGAAATCATTTCACTTCCAAGATAATAAATGCCAAATGCCAGAAGCTATCCTTGCGTGTTTCAGTATACTGCTATTTTCCGTGCAGTGCATGTCTCTTATGCTACTTATTCAGCCTTTTTTTGCCATGAAAACAAAAAAACCCAAGCCTGCTTTAATTAATGAAGTTCAGTTTCACCTAGCTTGCCCTGTTGTGATAGTCCAGTTCAAAATGTTACCTGCTCTGCCCTTTCGAAAAACTGCGGTACCATTGCTTTTACCCATTTGAATGCATGACTCGCAGTGTTGCCTTTGTAGGTTTGGATGTCCAGACTGCAAACTGGGGAGGCAGAGGAATGCACTCAAACACCGTCTGTCTCCCAGGAGTGTCACTTTGTTTTGAACCAGTCTTGTTTTAGAAATACTACTGCATTCTGTTCCAATTTTCCAGAGCCCCCTAATCTTCTTCCAGGCTCTTAATGATGTAGTCGATAATAGGATTCTTGGTATTAATTTGGAACAATAATGCCAGCTGCTTGCTTGGTGGCTATTGGCAGAGGGGTGACCTTGCAGGTCAGCTAAGCAGAACTGGAAGTGCTTTGATCTGATCTATACAGAGCTAGATCTGTCCACCCGAACAAGAGGAGCAAGCGAATTCCTTCTCCATGGGATGCTGATTCTTCTCCAAAGAGCACGGAGGACAGCATGGCAGTGGCTTTTGATGCAATCCTCGCTCGGATCAAGGATGTTTGTAAAAGAAACGGTTTGCTCATTCTCTCGGTGTTGTCGGTCACCATTGGCTGTCTTCTTGGATTCTTCCTGAGGACGAGACGGCTCTCCCAGCAGGTATGTGTGGCATGGCAGCGTATCACTACAGAGAAAATATTGTACTTATGTAACAAAAGGCATAGCAACTTGCGGAACTTAAGGATGGACTTCTGAAGATAAAAGGCACATATGCGTGTTTGTTAAATTTGTTTAATTTCATTTGTTTGTTAAATCTACACTGTTCTTGGGGTCTTTTCACACATTCTCAAACAATACGTTTGCAAAGGGTTCTGGTCCTTAAGACACCTAGTAAGTCTAGCATAAACGTATTCTAATGTTGCAAGTATGAATAATAATAGTGGGTCTTTAAGCTAGATGCAATGTAACATCTAATACAGACCTGTTAAAAACTCATAGTGCAATATATTAATTGGATTATATATTACTTTGGAACACGTACGTCTAAAGAAAACACTGGGAATACTTTTCATCAGCAGACATACAGAGGTAGAGATGTTTATATTACACCAATGGTATTTTGTATTCATAAATTTGAGATTTCCCATCGTTAACAGACCATGTTATTAAAGTCACTTGCGGATTTCTCCTCCAGCATACTTCAGCTAAGCTCTTCAGAGGTAGTGATTTCTTACTGCTGTATTAGACAGAATAGAGAGGGCAACATGCATTGCTGAATACATTGTTTGAGCACAAAATATCTCAATTAAAAAATATGGCACTTAGTAAACGTGACTAAACTAAAACAATTCTTTGTTCTGCTACTGCTAACTGCAGTCTGAACATCTTTTATGTCCAAGCAGTATCTTCATACACATCTAGCAAAACACACAAAATGCAGAATGAAGAGATTATTCAGGGCAACCCAGAACAGTAGTCCCCAAGAGACGGCATATTTCATTTTTGTCTTCCTTTGTAAAGGAACGAACAATGTAGTGTGTTTTTGTTGAATTACAACACAATATGTAATTTAATTAATTTTAAAATGATCCTTTAAAGCCTACTATCTTTGCCACCTTATATACCAAAGCTGCAGATTTTACCAATGTTATCTGATCCACAGCTCTAGCAAGACTTACGAAGACAGTCTTTATCTCAAAACAATAAGCATCTCTCCATGTATTTCTAGGAAATTAGTTATTTCCAGTTTCCTGGTGAGTTACTGATGAGGATGCTGAAAATGTTGATTCTCCCACTGGTTGTCTCAAGGTAAGTGAGGACAATGATTGTTCCAATAACTTCTAAAGTTTCCTAAATGAGACATGTCATCACCACTATTTTGGGTTTAACCAAATTAATGTCAAAGTGCCAGGACCATTACTGACTGCTGTACATTCATATTTATAGTGGAGCTATGAACGTATTTTGTGATAAATAGGAACATTTATGCAATACCTCATACAGGTATTATTTTCTTAAAAACTCATGGGTTTTTTTTTTAATTCATGTTTTCTTCTTTCTTTGTCATGGGAGGACTTTTTCCTTCAAGCTAACTAGAAGTTAAATATATGGAATAAATAACACACCTCATCAAAAAACCTACCTTAAATCTAAACGATTGAAATAATACACCAAACAGTTGAAATAACACACCATACAAATAAGATGAAAAAACACAGTTAATTTATAGTCTTGTGCCGTACTTTGAGAGATGTGCTGTAGTATGATGAATATTGAAAAAACCCCAATGTGTCTCCAGTGAACTAATAATACATGCCTGGCTTCAGCTGGAAGTGAAAGTGATTTCTTAGTGCATTAAAGGCAGAACCTTTAGTGGTGCCACTTTATTGGTGGCAGGATCTAGATCCTGGTGCTGAGGTCGGGTGCATGGTAGGTGCCTTTGCAGTGGGTGAGCATAATTTAGGATAGCTTTTTCTCTCCTCTAAATTTGTCTTGTCTTCCAACTGACTACAATCACAAATGCCAGCTGGGTGGCCAAAAGCTCTCAGCCCAGTTCTGAGAGAAGAGATGAGGAGAGATGGAGAGTAACAAAGCTAACTTCACCTAACCAGATCTGGGAAAAAAAATCTTGCACTCTTTGGTGCCTTTCCTTGAAGCCTCAGCTTCTAGAACTGAATACATATGCCAAAAATTCATCTTCCATTTTAAGAAAAAGATAAGTTTCTAGTCTTCAGATTGCTGAGAGTTGCTGCAAATAAACACAACCCAGCACTAATTTTATTTTTAAATCATCTGCCTTTACATCTACCTTCTCATGGTTTTTCACAGAATGAAGCTGATTCATGGTGCTTGCATGCCTAGAACTGGCCATAGTATGACCATAGACTCATACCTGGTTCTGTCCCACGCAGCTAGAGAACGTCAAGACAAAATATATTAGATGTTTTTTGAGAGGTGACAGTTTTCCGAGGATATGAATCTCACATGAGGAAGTGACGTAGTAAGGACAGAAGAGGAGCAGAGTCACATGCCCTCCTCTAAAATGTATAGTTCTTTAAATCCCGTTGTTTTTTTTGAGATGTCAGGAAGAGAAGCAGCACAGTGGAAAAGAGCTGCTCTGACACAGCTTGTGATAGCTCTAGGTTACCTACAGATGTGTCAGGAGTGGGTCTCTGAGCCACACTATTAGAACTGATGGAGTCCATCCTCTGAGGAAGAAAGAGAAGAAACTTTACAGATCTTCAAAGAGATTAGATTGTAAGACAGCATGGGTCTATCTCCCTGTATAACAAACTAACGATCACTTGCTATTGCATACTGAAATTTCAGGTTTTTGTAAACAAAAAATCCTCCAGATACAATTACATTCTTGTACAGTCCTTTTTTTTTTTTTTTTTTTCACAACAAGCACAGTATTTCCCACACATACATTTCATAAAATGAGTAAACCAGTGCTCTGTGTTTTTACCAGTCCGCATACACGTTTAAACTAAATTTCTTGGTGGATTTGGAATATTCTCAGCTGGTCCTGTGGGAGCAATGACATTTAAATTATCTTCTAAATTACTCTGTATTATTGTTTACAAAAGCCAGGGGTACAGCACCAAGCTCTAATTTTACTCTCCTAGTTGAAGTTAATGCAAGTTTTTTCTTGAACTAACAAGTAAAAAAAATACTTGTAAAGAAAAGGGAAGGTGAGAAAGGAGGGTTAAAAGAGGCACTCAATGCAAAATACACCGTCTTCAAGTCTAGAGTTGATCTTGGAGGGTTGTGGCAGAAATAAAAGGTGGCAAGTGTGTGGCTCAGAAGACTGATAATAGACTAGAAAATCTTGCACTTATAGGTCAGTAGTGCAAATCCAACCTTAAACAGAAGTGGCTGAAAATATCTACTATCCCTCTTTTGACCTGATAGTTAGAGAGTTAAACCAGGAACTTTGCAGATTGTATCCATTAGGAAGGAGAAACTGATGATATAGTCAAGTATCTCTGATTGAACTGTGTTTATTTTAAAAGTTCCTTGAATGCAGAAGAAATCAGTTGAACAACAGGAGACTGTTTCTTTAATGTACGGTTCCTTGTCTTACCCAGTTCTGTCCCAGCACTTGGAAGTGCTGTATACCAGAGCTCCTATACCTGTTTCTGGTATCTCCTATCACCTGTGGTCTTATTTTTTGTTTTGCCACAGACAGAAAAATCTTGAAAAAGCAACAACCAGTAAAACTAGCCTCCCAGTTTGAGCCCTTCATGGCTTTTGTTTTTGTTGTGATGTGGACCTTCATTAAGGATGGGGGTTGATACTATTTCAGTTATCTGGTTACATAAACAAGCTTCATAGCATCATACAATGACTCTAAAAGAAGTATATGTTGATTTCTCCCATGCTCTGTCTGAGGTTTAGCCCTGTTCATACCTACTAGTATCCACTAAGTGTCTTGTGTATAGTTTCTCAGTGATGAGAACAGGTGTCCACATAACAAAGGATGCTGCTTCTATTAGCATCATAAAGAAAGAAATGATAACAAATAGTCTGACGGTTTGTATCTGCCCTAGGAATACTCAGTAGGGGAATCGTAGAATCACAGAATGCTTTGGTTTGGAAGGGACCTTTAGAGATCATCCAGCCCCCCCCCCTTGCAGTGAGCAGGGACAGCTTTAATTAGATCAGGTTGCTCAGAGCCCCATCCAACCTGATCCCAAATGTCTCCAGGGATGGGGCCCCCACCACCCCTCCAGGCAACCCACTCCAGCACTCCACCACCCTCACTGCAAAAATCCTCCTCCCCGTATCCAGTCCAAATCCACCCTCCCCCAGCTCAAATGCACCACTCCTTGTCCTGTCACAACAGACCTCTCTAAAAGATTGTCCCCATCTTTCCTATAGGCCCCCTTTAAGTAAGTGTTACGTGATCAAATTTTAGTGTTACGAGATCAAATTTTAGACCCTGCAGTTACCAGATGTACAGTATTTATTGTGTATATAAGCACAGGATACTACTTTTAAACCTGGGAATGGGAATATTAACAGAGCTCAGAGAGAATAGGAGCCAAATCTGAATTCCTAGCTCCACACACTCTGCCTGAGCTCTTACTGCAGTTGGACAAGGGGGTCTTCTCAACAAGCCTGAAAGATTGACTGCAGGAGATCTGAAGTTCCCTGATTCTCTTTGGGACAGAAGCTTTGATCCTCATATGACAACGGCAATGCAGATAATATATTTTCTTCCTTGAATGCAAAAGCTTTCAGCACATATCTCAGGTTTTCAAACAGGCGCGCACATATGCGGCAGTGACAGCAGAGAATCTCAGTGCATCCTGCCCTGAGTCCTCTGATCTGTTTAAAAAACCATGGGTCCAGGTCTTTAGGCAGACATGTGCTGATCAGCTGGCCCAGGGTGCTCAAGTTTGTTAAACCATCTTTCCTTCCATCTAAAGCGTTTCCCGGCGGGTGGAGGCTCGGTCTGTATTACTCCCTCTAGCCAGGAGGCGGCTCTGTCCCGCAGTGGGGAACCGCGGGTTGCTGCGGGTGTTCGGTCGCTCCAGGGGAGGGAGGGAGGGAGGACCCCTGCGGCTGGGAGGCCCTTCACCTGAGGCGTTTCCTAATAGTGCTACCTACCCAGAAAACTATAAAATATCTACTCTTTTTCAGTATGGTTCCCCCCCCCCCCCCAAGTCAATTGGCAGAGATACCTGTGCGGCACTTCAGCTTCTCAAACTTCTTAAATGCTTGAAATAATAAAATCTGATGTCAATGTCCTTGTGCTGCGCACAAAGCAAACTGGGAGAAGAACAAACACTCAACTTTTCCATTAATGTCTTCTCACATTTGCTAAAGGTAATACAAACCCTCTGACCAAATCCCTGGCTGTGCCAGCTGTGCCGGGCGCGGGCGCCGGCTGGAGCGCAGGCCGAGGAACAAACACTCAACTTTTCCATTAATGTCTTCTCACATTTGCTAAAGGTAATACAAACCCTCTGACCAAATGCTGGCTGTGCCAGCTGTGCCGGGCGCGGGCGCTGGCTGGAGCGCAGGCCAGCCGTGCTGGCAGGTGCTGTGCCGTAACGCGCGCGCTGTCACCTCCCTTCCGAGCGTCGTTGCCCTTGTGCCCGTTCACTGCCGCATTGTCTTCATCCCAGGTTACCGGTTTTGTACTGATCAACTTCCAGCGGGGCAGAAACTTGATTTTCAGTAAGCGTAACTGCATTGACTTACGTTTTTTGGGGAGGCCGTTACTGAAACCTGACCTGTTACAACTTCGTCTCTTGTTGTGACTGAGGTTTTGAAAAAGCTGCAAACTGACTAAAAAGTTTACTGCTGCTGAGGCATTTATAGTGCTGCTTTTTGGCATGGATTCCTTCCAGTAGGCAGAGAGCTTGCACTGTGGCATTTACTCCACAAAAGAAAATTCAACTCTGTTCAAAACGCAGAGGTGCCAGTGAGCCCTTTGGGGAGAGGGGGTCTGGCTCCCAGCGCGCTGCAGAGCCCTGGGCAGGCAGAACCGCCACGTGCACCAGACCTCCTGCGTCTTCAAAAACTAGTTGCAAAATCTGTGTGCTGCAGATCTGTAAGGCAGGTTGGAGAAGAGGCAGGGCTTGCAGCCCCTGGTTCTTATTTCCAGATAATACTAGAAGCACACAGATTATTTCTTTCCTGTATTCAGCCATATAGTTTCACAGACCTTGCAGGAACCTAATTTTTTCAGCGCGTTCCATCCCCTCTGCATAATTTGAGAGAAAAATTAATTAAAATGTCATTAGTAAGGGCTCTCACACATGCAGAGTTGGACTGCATAAGCCTTGCTTCTTCAG